AAAAATATGATTTTTCCCAAAATTATCATTTTGCCCTTTTTCTTAATTTGCTCATAATTTCCTCGTTACAAGTCCGATTCGAGTTCACTACCTGTCTACAGACTTGTTTCGTCATGCTCTACGCAACGGTACGAGTGGATTTCCCAAATTCTTTCCTGGTCAAAAAGTCAACTTAAAACCTAATAAAATATTCTAAGGGCATTATGGTCTTTTCCTCCATTAAATTATTAATTAAATATTAATTAAGGTTTGGGTTGTTACATTGCATCCCTCTCATACCAATTCTCCCAGTTTGTAATGAACTACAACATGGGAAAAATGGACCAAACTCTTGCTGAGTTGTTGCACATGCTGGTCATAGTTGAAAAGACTTTCAAAAAGGAAAGTGGGAGTGGGATTGTGGCTGCCTTCGAGAAAAGCTCTTCTTCGTCTACTAAACCTAAGCCTAAAACCAAAGGCAAAGGCAAGGGCAAGGGAAAGGAGAAGAAGACTACTGTAGTCAAACCCGAGGGTAAAATCACCAAAAAGAAGGCAAAGGAGCCCAAAGGAATATGCTTTTACTGCAATGAAAATGGGCACTGGAAGAGGAACTGCAAGAAATTTCATGCAAGCCTGAACAACAACAAACCTCCAGGAGGTACTATTCTTGTTCTTGAATCAATTCTAACAGTTAGTTCTTCTACTTGGATATTTGATTCAGGCGCTAGCCAACATGTTTGCAATTCCTTGCAGGGGCTGGTGGGAAGTAGAAGATTGAAGAAGGGAGAGATGGTGCTACGTATTGGAAACGGCACAAGAATATCTTCTAAAGCTGTTGGCACCTACCTTCTCAAACCACCATCAGGAGAGGTTTTGGAATTAAAAGATTGTCTTTATTTTCCTGCTTGTATTAAGAACTTAATCTCCATCTCTATGCTTTTAAGAGATGGGTACTCAGTTATGTTTGACAAACTAAGTTGTTCTTTATATTTGAATGGATGTGTAATTTGTTATGCTCATATCATAGATGGCCTCTTTCATTTACAATTGAATGGTAGTGTTAACTGTTTAGAAGGTAATGATGCATCGAGGCCTAAAAGGCCAAAAGATGATACCAATCCTACAAAAATGTGGCATTTAAAACTTGGGCATATCAACCAAGACAAAATTCACAAGATGGCCAAAGATGGATATCTTGGACCGTTGGGTTCAGAACCAATGCCAACTTGTGAGTGTTGTCTAAAGGGTAAGATGTCTAGGTCTCCTTTCTCTGGCAAAGGGGAAAGAGTCACTGAATTGTTGGGGTTGATCCACTCTGATGTCTGTGGGCGTATGTCCACGTCATCAAGAGGAGGCTTCTCATATTTTATAACATTCACCGACGATCACTCTCGGTTGGGCTATGTTTATCTCATAAAGCATAAGTCCGAATCCTTTGAAAAGTTTAAGGAATTCAAGAATGAGGTTGAGAAGCAAACAGGAAAGAGTATAAAGATTCTAAGATCAGATCGAGGAGGTGAATACTTGAGTACAGAGTTTCTTGATTATCTCAAGGAACATGGCATCATTTCACAATGGACTCCACCGGGGACTCCACAACTCAATGGAGTTTCTGAACGGAGAAATCGAACCTTGATGGACATGGTTCGTTCCATGATGAGTTACACTGATTTACCTATATCCTTTTGGGGATATGCACTCCTCACTGCAATTTACTTGCTGAATCGAGTGCCTTCTAAGTCTCACCCAAAAGCAGGAAACCGCGTGTTAACGCATATCCCCTCGGCCCGGAACTCCAGGCCGTGAGATTTGCGCGGCAGACATATTCTGCACAGATTTAAACAACTTACAGCAAAAACAATATACTTTGTCCACATCTTTTGAGTACACTAGCCATTTTCTATCTTGTTTCTCTCCATTTGGTAACTTTCTTGTATAAAATGAATATGAAAAATGCCTAGAAAGCCCATCCACAAGAAACTTGAGATTACTTTCTCTTATAGGACCCTTTTCTACTAAAAGATCCTTTTTGCACTTCCAGATTCATGTTTCCTAACCATTTTTCTAGTGCAACTCTTAAGTCTAGAAAGTAAAAAAATGAACAACCAATGAACAAAACAAACACACCAAACACAACCAGCACAACAAACACAACCAATGAACTAAAGTGTTACCAAAAAAAATTTAAAATTAAGTAGCAAACAAAGAGCAATAAAACCTGGTTAAATCTTATATAAAAAAGCCTCAATCTTGCAGAGCTTTATTCAGGCTAGCTGTGTTGAAACTAAAATTTGAGAAACTCCACTCCGTACCTCTACCTGATTCATGTACATCTGCAATGATAAGATACATGCAATTCAATCAAGTATTCATAATCATAAATCTGATTACCACTCCGTATCTCTCTGTGTTTTGTTCCTATTGGAAATTGAAACAATAGTTTGCTGGGTAGGAACAAATATAAAGAAAAAATTATAAATCTGATTACCTTGTCAATTTCTAATGCTCCTCCCCTCTTGGTCACCATCAATCTCAAAGACAATTTGTGAGCTTTTTAGTGTGAGATTGATTCTTAGGGTTACAATATGATATGAGAAAAGAGGGATTAGAGAAACTGAAAATAAAATATATGGATTGAAGGGAGATGGAGAAAACAGAGAAAAATATGGTGGTTGATTATTAAGAGATCGGTGGATTAAATAGAGTTCCATGGAGAAAGAACTAGGAGAGGGGTTGTTGCTCTTGCTGGCTGCGTAGGAAACGGGGAGCTTCTGTCTGAATGGGAAGAAGAAACGTCTTCCTTATTCAATTACAATCGTTGACTTTTTTTTTTTTTCAAGTTGGAAAATAATATTTATAAAAAATTTGGGGCCCCCTTAATTGGAGGCCCATGGCCAAGGCCCTTCTTGCCTACCCCGAAGGCCGCCCTGAATATCATTTCTTGTCACCCACCTACTTTTTCTAAAGATAAAAGTAAATAATATAACAATAGTTGGTATAATTGCTTTGTCTAGTCTATTGGAGTATCCAACTTTTTTCACGAGGCAAATGAATAAGCAACATGTCACTTATGTTGTGATAATACATATTTGCCTAACTACACTATTGTGTGATAGTTAAACCAATATATTCTCGATATTAAAAAAAAAAACCCCTTAATTCCTAAGTCCAAGAATTATAAACACCTAAATAATATTAGGTCCCGTTAAAATGGAACTCATTTAGCATCTATGCATTTCAAAACCATTCATTAGCCCAACTGTTGGGCAAAAAAAATTGAGATTTTCTATTTAAACCCCGCACTTCTCTTTGTTCACCCCAATACTTAAATCATTAAGCTATAAGTTTTATATTGTGTAAAAAGACAAAAAAGGTCATCCAACTTAATAATTAACCCTAGTACATCTATACATACACCACACACCCCCCACACCGCACCACTCTTCATATCAAATTTTAGAAAAATACAAACTCCTCTACATCCTATTGCCAAATTACTCTTCTCTTTTAAATACATAGAAAATTGACGAGCTTACCTCTTTAAATATGTGTGGGAGTTGATAGAAATGCTTGTTGATTATCAACTCAACAATACCCAAGTGTTGGAATTCCAGTTACAGTTCTTGGAGAGAGGTAAAGTTGTTCTCTTTCTCTAGAAAATATTAAATTTCGGGTTTAGGGTTCTATTTGTTTGTGTTTTTTTTGCTGGGAACAAAGAAAATTGTGGGGTTTAAATAGAAAATTTCTTTTATTTCTTATTTTTTCAGTTTGAGGTGTATTTAAGGGTAGTTTGGGAAGATAGTGGGGTTTTCTTAGAAATTGTGAAAATTTATATTAAAAGATGGGGTGAACTTAGAACATGGGGTGAACTAAGAGAAGTGTGGGGTTTAAAAAGAAAATCTCAAAAAATTTAAGTTATTGATTTTAATTTAGGAATTCTATTTAAGATTTTAAACAAACATTTTTTATTTATACAAGTTCGACTAGAAAGGGAGTATATATGACCCTTGATTTGCAAGTCAATACACGTAAATTGGGCCCACGATCTACAAAATGGGCTCACAACCCATATGCTCACATAAACCTTATAACATTCGTAAATTTGACAAGATTTTGCTTGAGACATAACCATTGAACCAAAAATTAAAGACAATGACATTAGATTGAAGAAGTAGTAAACGAAAGAAATGTCTAAATTTGACAAAAGATAAATGAATTAATCCAAGAAGAAGATACAAAAACTAAATGAATGATGATCTACCTGGACTATAAGTCTACAAGATTTTTCTGAGAAGATAAAATAACCACAGAAACGTTAATGAAAAATTAAATCTTTGACATTTTGTTCAGTAACTTTATTACTTGAGTTTTTCATCAACAATTTAGAACGCAGAATTTATTAGAAAAAAAAGGACAATAAAATAGCAAAAATCAAGTTGAGAAATCAAAATAATCCAATAGAATCAGAAAAGATGGAACAGAGGACTCTGTTTTTTGGTCTGCAATGTTTTATTTTTTTAGGTCATTCTTATTTAGAGGGAAAATTGAGAGAGCCCATGAATGAACCAACAAGAAGAAAGCTTTTATCCCCTGGTCAATCAAGATGCTAATTCATGACGTTTGGCACTTGAGCTCCTTTTGTGATACCATTCTGTTTGGTCATGTGTTCCGAGAAGCAAACTTCCTTGCTGATGGCTTAGCTAATCTAGGCCATGGGCTGTCCCCTTCCTTGCTTTGGAAGACTGGGCTCCCTCTGTCTGTTGCTCCTGCTTTCTTTTTTGACCTCTTTGGGCCTGCGTGCCCGTGAGGTTTTGATTTGTAATTCTCTTTTTCGCCAAAAATAAAAATAAAAAGAAATGCAGTTGAAGTGAACATTCTGGGAAGCTGTGTGAAATGAAGATTAAATATCCAAATAAAACAAAATATACCAGGGATTTGCAATTGCATACAAACACCATCATACATACCAGGGATATGCGATTGCTTACAGACACCAACATACTTTATTAAGTTCCAAAAAAGAAACAAACAGATACATTATTTTTTTTTGGTCGAAACAAACAGATTATAACTACTTACTGATTCTATAAGATCTGTGCCACAGAATCAGAAAACCAAGCCATCTGTAACCAATGATGAAACCCAACATTATACCTAAGTTGATCCATTTCTGTGATGGTTTCAGACCTTGCTGCATCAAGAACCAGTCACCATACAGAATGCAGTCTCCTCCAACACTCTGCAAACATCTCCCTCTTCCCTGCTCTCCTCCATACTCATTTATCAGGAAACACTCAAGTGGGTACTTAAATAAACTCAAGTAGTGCATGAAAGTCCAGTAGCTGGGAATGTCCTCCTTTGGGATGAAAAACCCAGAAAATAGAAAGAAGGAACCCATAAGCCCTGCCACTAAAGATGTTCCCATGATGAAGTTCGGCACTAGAGCGCTGAAGCACGCAACCAAAGAATTCGACATCAAAATGACCATCCACACCACCAGTGAAAAGTAGAGAAACCCATCAATTTCCCTTCTCAATCCAACTAACCAGTAGACTGGGGTAGCATAGAGAAGAGCCACACCTAATAGGAAAGGAAGGAATACTAAAGTGTTTGATATGACATAAGAAGAGATTCTATAAGCACCTCTTGAGGTTTCCCTCATCAATATTCTCCTCTCTTGCAGGTAAATTGGTAGTCCTTCAGTTGCGGAAGACATCAAGAAGGTGAGGCTGAAGGCAAAAAACCCAATTTGTGTTTGTAATTTAGCTCTTCTTGGGTCATTAGCAGCATTCATAAAAATAGTACCCAGCACAAATCCTGCAAGTAAAGCCTGCATTATTCTCGCAGCGAAAAGCTGTTTGGTTCTAAAAATGATGTTGGAGAATCTATGGCCCAGTATGAAAACCTCCTTGAACAGTGGATTGGCAAAGAGGACTCTGTCTTCATGAACGTTACCTATGATTGAATTTGGTCTAACATGCTTAAATTCTCCTTCTATTTCACCATATTCTATTTCACTTTCTTCAACATGTATGATCAAGTCTTCCATAACTTCAATAGCAAACTCAAGCACATTAACTTGCAGAGGAATGGAATGACCTGCATATCTAAGCCGTTGCTCTAGCATATGCAGGTGTCCATTGTGAATCACAGTTCCATTTGATAGTAATAGAATTTGATCTATTAGCTCAAGAATTCGAAATCCAGGTTGGTGGATGGTTAAAACAATTGTCTTACCTTGTGTTGAAGCCATAGTTTTAAGCAACAAGGCTACATCAAGTGCTGACGACGAGTCCAATCCTGATGTAGGTTCATCAAGCAAAAGAACAGCCGGATCATGTACTAGGTCAACTCCAATGGAGACTCTGCGTTTTTCACCCCCTGATATGCCGCGGTTAGAGTCACTACCAATTCTTACATTGGCAACATGTTGTAGTCCAAGCTCCCTCAGTAGCTCACTCACTCTAGCTGTGGCCTTTTGGTGCCTGCCATGGAACCTTAAACGAGCACTGTACAAGAGTGTTTCTTCCACAGTAAGAAGTGGGAAGAGGGCTTCTTCTTGCGTGACATAGCCTGATACTCTCCGAAAATGTTGAGCATTCATTGGCTGGTCATTGACAATAACTTGGCCAGCAGTACTACTTAGAGGGATCATGCCAGCTACTATTTCTAGCAATGTTGTCTTTCCTGCTCCGCTTGCACCCGCAATAGCTGTGATCTCTCCCGGTCTAGCTTCAAAATCGACATTCTTCAAAATGTATGCTTTAGGGGTCACCTCCCTCTTGAACAGCCACTTGAACTGATCAACTGTGGAAGATAATCTGTAACAAAGTTTCTTGGTCTTAATTCTGTATTGGGTTTTCTTGCCAGTCATGGTATTTTGTGCCTTTGTTAGTAACTCCATTGAGAAACTGAAGGGGTAAAGCTATGAGATGTGTGGAAGAATAGGAAGAATTAGAGTAGAAAAGATGAGCTAAAACACTGAACTAGCTTTTCTTTGTACACGCCACTCTCATTGCCCAACTATGTATGTATGCTTGTTGTATGGTTAACTTCTTAACCCTTTTGTAGCATTTTCCCTTTCTAGAGAATAATTAGATCAGTTAAGGAAAACTAGTAGACTATTATATTCTTTACTAAATTAGGCGTAGAGGAACATCAGTGACTAATAAAACTTTCTGTATTTTTGACAGTTTCAAAAACGCTTTTTTCAGGTGAAGGGAGACTGAGTACATGTTCGGTGCAGAATTGTCTCATCCATGTGACTTCTGTGGGTAAGTGAGAGTTGCAGTTATATATTTAACTGAGCAGCTGTTAAATGGGAGAAACACTTACATGAAATGGGGTAGCATTATTTTGCTATCTCCGGCCAATCACGATTTACCACGCATGATAACTTTTCCACGTAGCAATCTGTGATTGGTTGGGGATAGCAAAATAGTGCTATCCCCGTTTCATACAAGTTTTTCTGGTTAAATAGGCCTTTGGTGATACCAAGGATGTGGATAAGATTTGGGGCTCCATTTATTGCCAAATGAGGTGATATTATATGTTGATGTGTGAGGTACTAGATTTTCCTATTTGGGAGTTTTTTATGGCAAGATTTTAACGAAGCTACATTTTCAAACTTGAATTCAGTATTTGTGGTTGTAACTTGTATGTTTTCTTGGTCTTTGGTTGAAGTAAAAAAAAAAAGAACAGGAAAGGTCGCTGTGTGAGGTGGTTTCATGCTGGTAAATCTACAAGACCAAATCTCAATGGTGATTTTAGGTTAAATCATGTCCCTTAGAGGAAAGAAAAAAAAAACAGAAAAAAGAGAAATGGTTTGTGGGGTTGAATTGTGAGCGGACGATTTTTCTAGTAACGTGATCGAGTTGATCAGGTTGGTGGACGGTAAAAACTGGGCGAGTCAGCCATAACTAAATGCAACTTAAACAAACCAACAATAACTTGCACGGATAATTGAGTGCTAAAAAAGATTAAGGTTTGAGGGCGAATTGTAAACAAACAGTTGAAGGAAGAGTGACTCAAGAGAACTTTCCCTATTTATGCGAAAAACAACAAGTAGCCAAACTCAACCAACAATGGAGCAACGCTACCCACTAACTCAGGCTTAGGGATATAAATGGGAAATTTGGGTCCTGGGAGTGGTTCAATGGCTCCATATTGTACCAATTTTAGGTAAAAACAAAAGAGGTATTAAATAGGATTCACATGAATGATTCCGCATGTGGCGAAGATAAAGGTATTAAATATGGTTAGTTTCCATCGGAATTTATATAAGAGCAAGGCTTGGCTCGTTAAGTTCCTCCTTAAAACCAATGAAAGTTTTGACACTTATCAAATTTCAGCAACATTGATAAAATAAATTGTAGCAACATTGATAAAGTTGGATAATGCTTCCCTCCTTACCCATAAGGAGGAACTCATCCTTACCTACAAATGTGGCTCAACCACAAACTAACACTTGTCTTTTTTTAATTTATTTTTTATGTATATATATATTAATTCTCAAAGGTGCATTTATTTTTCACTTTAATTATTCTTAACAAAAAAGACATGTGTCAGATTGTGATTGAGCCATATTAGTAGGTAAGGAAGAGTTCCTCGTTATGGGCAAAGAGGGAACCATTATCCGATAAGGTTTCAACAAAAAAGAAAAAAGAAAAAAGAAAAAAGAAATATTGACATGTGTCAAAATCACATTGGTTGTAAGAAGGAGCTCCTCCTCAATTTGAAAGAACAAGCTTTGTTCAATAAAAAAATAGATATTACATAAGATTTCCATGAATTCCCAGGAGGCTGGTGCTTAGTGGTCAAGAAAATCTAGCCTCATAATCTTATCTGAAATTTGATATCTGAATGCTATAACAAAATATGGACACGTGGCAATCGAAAATCTTATCTGAAAATTTAATCCGACAATCTTATCCGAAAATGTTATCTGAAATTTTAGATGAGAATTTTATAATAAATAGTGACACGTGGCAATTGAAAATCTTAACAAAATTAATCGTTGAAGTATAAAAAATAGAAAATAAATTAAAGTGAATAGTAATTGCCCTTGCCCATAGGGGTGAAAGCAATAAAGGCAAGGGCTACCACTATTCACCTGACAAGTGACAGACATTGCCTTGCCCTTACCCTTTGGGGTGGAAGTGCTCTTAGGGGTCGTTTGGCACGACGGACTATCATGGACTGGACTAATAAATCCTGGGACTGTCTCGGATTAGCTCGGATTGGCCTAAGTTGAATTAAGTACGGACTTAAGTTTGGTGCTGCGTCGGACTAAGAAGCTGGATTGTAAAAATAGTGAAGACCTATATTTGGTGTTGTGTCGGAATAAAAAATAATTCCATACAAGTTTTTCTGGTTAAATAGGCCTTTGGTGATACCAAGGATGTGGATAAGATTTGGGGCTCCATTTATTGCCAAATGAGGTGATATTATATGTTGATGTGTGAGGTACTAGATTTTCCTATTTGGGAGTTTTTTATGGCAAGATTTTAACGAAGCTACATTTTCAAACTTGAATTCAGTATTTGTGGTTGTAACTTGTATGTTTTCTTGGTCTTTGGTTGAAGTAAAAAAAAAAAAGAACAGGAAAGGTCGCTGTGTGAGGTGGTTTCATGCTGGTAAATCTACAAGACCAAATCTCAATGGTGATTTTAGGTTAAATCATGTCCCTTAGAGGAAAGAAAAAAAAAACAGAAAAAAGAGAAATGGTTTGTGGGGTTGAATTGTGAGCTATCACATTGGACTGAGTAAAGGTAAAATAATGCACACTGATTTCACCAATAGCATGACCTGGGCCACTACTAGTACTACTCACCTACACAATGACATTGCGCTTGAATTGGAATTCATATAATTCATAAACGAAAAACCAAGTACCAACTACCAAGAGTAGATGAGAGTTGACCATGGAACCCTCTCATGAAACCCTAAGAAGATGAAGAGTTCACCATGAAAAGAAAACAAATAAAATTCTAATATTTTTTAAAGGGAGGCATCAGACTCACGTGTTCTATTTAGCGAGTGTGCTATTTAGTGAACCACTTTTCAGGCTCACTGTATTAGACGAGCGAGTGAGGCATTTTTTTCACTATTGGACTATACAGTCTCATTTAAGTTAGTCTCGTCTCTTACCAAACAAGGGTTTCGAGTGATATTTAACCCAGTCCAGTCCAGTGAGGAGTACCAAACATGGCCTTAGAGTCATAGGTTGTCCCTATCCTTTGACTCTAATTTGACCATCCATTTGGCAACGGTTAACTAACATGTCACTGATGCACAATGGCTGAATTAGGTGTATGCCTAGGTGGACCACCCTACCCCTCCCCCAAAGGTGCCAACACACCAGGTCGTTTGGTACGACGGATTGTTATGGACTGGACTAAATCCTGAGACTATCTTGGATTGGCTTGGATTGGACTAAGCTGGATTACGCACTGACCTACGTTTGGTGCTGCATTGGACTAAGAAGCTGGATTGTAAAAATAGTGAAGACCTATGTTTGGTGTTATGTTGGACTAAAAAATAAATATTGTAATATTTAAATTTAATTAAGGATTCTAATATTTTTTTTAAAGGCTTTCTAATATCTTTTTTAGAATAATAATATATAAGCTATTTTCAAGTGTATTTTTGTTAATTTATGTTCTAAAAAATAATAAAAATAATATTTAAAAAAAACTAGATAATAACATCATAATTGATATAAACAATTAATAAATAAAATTAAAATTAAAATAATTAATTAACTATAAACTAATAAAATATTTGAGAGAACCACAAATATCTTCTCTTCTTCCTCTCCCCGTCACCTCACCACCTACAATCCTCCTCAAACCAATTTTCCTACCTCCCCAAACCACACAACTTAGGCCATGCTTTCCACAAACACAACCATGCCTCTTCTCTTCCCTATCACCCCACTTTGCCCCTAATTAAGGCCATCAGATTCTTACCCACATTAACAAAACGAACAAGATGGGGATGATTATGATGATGATGGGGTCCTATTGGATTGCTCACAGTTGGAAGAGGCGATGAAAGAGGGAAACGCTACAGCCTATTAATTGGGGAAGAAACATTTCCAAAGGTGATAGACCCACCATTAATCTTCTTCTATTTTCAAGAATCCAAATTCTTCATCCCTTGATTTTTTTTCCCCAAAATATGTCACTATTTGGTTTTAAATTTTTTCAACTGGAATTATTGGCTCTGTGGAAATCGGTTGTGCAAGGGATGTTGTGGTTGTGCAGGGGAGGTGGAGACGCCAAGTTTCTGGGTTATGCAGTGGGTTGGGTGGTGATGGGTGTTTAATTGGGTATGGTTTTTGGTATGATAAGGTTTACAGAAAACAAAAATCCAGAAAATCTAGTTCCAAATGAAGAAGAAGGAGAAATTGGTGTAGTTCGGACTCGCCTGTTTTATTTAGCGAGTTCGCTATTTTGTGAACCACTTTTCGACTTCGCTATATTAGAGCAGCGAGTGAAGGGTTTTGATCTCTGTTGTGCTATATAGTCTCATTTAAGTTAGTCCCCTCTTTTACTAAATATGGGTTTCCAATATTATTTATGCCAGTCCAGTCCAGTGAGGGGTACCAAACGCAGCCCATAAGTTTTATTCTCTCTCACTATATATAATGTTCTGGAATAAGTTTTATTCTTTTTTTTTTCTTTTCTTAAACTATATATAATGTATGGAACATATGTATAAATATCCCCTTAGAGCCTATTTGGTTAAATATTTAAAAGCTTGGTAATGGATTGCGCTCCCATATTTGGTAAGTGCATTGTTGAGAATGTAATACATGACTCATGGATTTGAACTTCCCATATAGGGTGGAATTTCATACCCTTGACTATGCTTGAAAAATCTTTTTCACCCAACTTAGGAAAGCATCTAATGCATTGTTTTTGGACCAACTTACTTCTATTCCAATTTTTAACCACCACTTTTCATTAAAGATTTT